GTAAGCAAACCCCATCCAACCCGCCCCCCCTAAAACCACTTCTTGAATAATCTATGATATTGCAAATGCAATTTCATTAAAGTGTCCCCTCCATTTTGACTAATTCATAGTCGTATGGTCGCACCGGGTTGCGTGTGTGTCTCTAGTATAGTACGTCAATAATTTCCATTTACTATAAATGAGCGCCGCTGTCTAGTCAGGCGGTTTAGTCAATATCTGGATAGTTACGGGTGAACTACAAAGTAATATATCAAAGTTTGCTATGAAAGTATATGAAAAGTTCTTGCTGAAGCCGACTTCAAATTGTTGATGTGAATTGAGCATTGAAAATGCTGGAAACAAATGATGTGAGTGTTGATCAGGAAAGAGAACAATTATTAAGTAAGAGTTTTAATTAGGCAAGAGTAAAAGGAAGCTCACATTTGATAGGCTCCATTCTATAACAATTATCTGAAATCATATTTTACTTGGCAACCAAATTCCTTGACATATTTAGCTTTAAGTGTTGAAGTCATTAAAATTGGCATTGAAGTTGGCATAATTTAATGATAAAGCTGATCGATGAAATAACTGCATATAAAGTGTTGGATAAATTTCATAAAATCCTAAATTCGAAAAAGCTTTTAAAAAGAAAATTAAGAAGTATTTTTCGAAAAACTTAAGATATTTTTAATTACCAGAAAACATATAAAATATTATAAGCAAATCCGAAATTCTGACTTAATAGAGAACAGTGTTGTTAAACTCATTATACTAAGCTCCTAACATGTAGGAAATTCCCTAATTTTTCAACGCCTTGATTTTTCTGGATATATTTTCCGAACTATTTACATTTTCTACCTGTATGTTCCTTAAGGTTTATAAAGAGAAATAAAGATTTCTAATGCTTAAGTTACAATCAGCTTTGTCTTACTAGATAACAGTGTTGGTTAACTTTTCAATTCTATGAAATTCATCAATGCCAAGCCTTAGAGCTAGAAATATTTTCTAAAACTGTTTACGTGTTTCCTTGACATATTTACCTTAAGAAACTGAAATTTAAATACAACTTTTGCTTATAGTAGAACATCTTTTTGTAAATTGCAAACATCTGCTGAAAATAAACAAAAATACATAAATTATTTTTCGTAGTATTCGAGAAATGCGTCAAAAGAGATCAGCTGCCTGCCGACAAATAAGTTAAATATATAAGCAACAAACTAGAAATTCCCTAAAAACACTTTGATGAATGAACGCACGAAATGAATGAAATGAAATTTAAGCGAGCGAGTGATTAGTGTGTGTGAAAATGTGTCATCGAAAGTAACTAAGAAGTAGACGAAGTGAGAAATGAGCACAGAAGCGCCTTTTGGGGTCTTAAGTTTCGAAAAGAGATTAATTTTGAGTCAAAGCTAATGCGATTGGAACATTGCGAAGTGTTGGGAGATATCGTAGTTGCAGTTGTAACTAGAACATGCACTTCTTTCCCATACTCTTCTGCACTGGCACCATGGGGCACACACAGACAACAGAATTCGACACGCAACTAATTGCATGATGCAATTTTCAAGTTTTATGCATGATTAGAAGACTCATTCCCAATCCATTTGGCTGCTGGCTAATTGTGGGCCTACAGCTGTGAGTGCGAGCGTGTTATTAATCAAGAGCCAAAAACTCTCGTATTCTCTGCCAGCTAAGTTTTCTCAGGCCCTGGAGGTCACTTGCAGTCCGATAAGACGGCGAACGGATGCCACTTGTGCTCGTATGTTTACTATATACATATATACAGTCTATCGCGCTCGCCTCATATATGCTAATGGGAGCGGAGTCTCATTTGATAAATGTAACCAATGGGGATTATTGTATTGCCACAGCGGAAAGTGTTGCAAGTGTTTGTTTCGAATCTTTTGAGGTCAAAGCTAATGCTGACTTTTATGGGTGGTGGTGCCAAGATGTTCAATTAATCCAGAGCGCTTATGAGCTGCTAATTGTGGAAAGTTATTAGAAGTTGATATCAGAGCAATTAATTAAAGGCATAAAGTAATTGCCAAAGGAAATATCACTCAAAAAGCTTCGATAGAAACGATAGATCTAGTCTGTTAAATTATAGATACCTTATACATTTATGTTTTATATATATTTAATGATCATTATTTCAAATCTACAATTTGTCAATCAATAATCAACTTTTCTGATTGCAACCCCTTTCACTCATTTGGGCAAATTGTCATCAGGCATTTGCCTAATGCATTTTCCTAACCCTTTGCCAGCTGCCAGCTGGCTGCTTGTTTTTCTTGCTTTTCATTATTGAGTGCCCATTTCCCGCCGTCATTATGTCACCTGTCACACCATGTTTTCAAGACTTTCCAGTTCAAAGTTGCGACTGTTTCGAAATTGTACAAAATTTGTACTCACACAGGGTGTTTCCTGTTTTCCGACACGCAGACCGCATTGACCCTGGACTAGCTTCAACAAAAGTGACAAGACAGAAATGGCTCCCTGCACTTCCACCTACCTGTCTATCTCTTCCTCTCTCTCTCTCACTCACTCACACTACTTTCCAGTTTTGCAACGGCACTTGTTACTTAATGCGTCTGCTTGAATTTTTAATATGTTGTTTCTTTTTTATTCTTTTTATGTTTCATATGTTTTTTTATGGCTTGTACTTTTTGTTTATTCTAGCCAGCGGTTTCTGTTTTCTTTTTTTTATTTCTGTAGAATTTGAATTAGATTCTAGTTTTTCTGCCCCTTTACATACTATAATTTTGTTGTTGTTGCGTTGTTTTTTGGCATGGTTCATTGTACACATATTCGAGTAGCAGAGGCCCTAATAGAGCTCCCTCCATATGGCACTGAAGACTTTGACTCAGCAGGTCTTTCCGCTGGCTCTCTCTCTTTCTTGCACTCACACTCTCTGGCGCTCTCTCTGTCTTATAGATAGTTTACATGTCATTTTTTTTGGGGGCTTCATTCCTAGTTCTTTTCAGTTGTTGCTGTGCCGCGCGTCGCGTTGTTTGTCCAACGGTTCTCATTCTATTTAATATCAAATATATTTATATATGTATTTATCTATTATATATCCGCTAAATAGCTCCTTGTTTGCTTTGACGTCAACTACTTTTGTGTTTATCGGTTACTCATGTTCTTTTTTGCTGTTATTTACATAGCATTTTGCCCCCGAAACGTCGCAAATTGCAGTTAATTAAGCTTAATTGAAGGCTTTAGGCACAGTTGGACAGCCACTGCATAGACCCAACCACCCACAAATGCGACGAATTTTATTCAATTGAACTTTTCACTTGACTTTTTGTAAGCAGAAAATACTAAGTAAATAACAAAGATGTATGTGGGGAAGGGCATAGACCGTGCGATCGAATTTTCATTTTTAATCTCATCTTTTGAACTGAAAATCAAAATTGCTTTGAGCACTTATCAACACTGTTTATGTTGCTGTTATTTATTTTAACTTAATTGTTCTTAGATTAAATTAAATTTGTGAAATACGTAGAAACTGTTCTTCTTATTAAGAAGACGGACCTCAGTTTCTTATAGACTTACATCACTGATAAACCTCTTATGCGTTTACCAACACTATGATTGATAACGCATGCAATTATAGTTTCTGAACATGCATTGTATGACAAATTATATTGTCAATTATATGCATATAGTCAATTAATGCCAGTTTTCTTATAAGCTTGACTGACATAATATATACTGCATTTACCAACACTACAGCTGAAAGCGTTAGCAGCTGTTTACTATTATGGCACTAAAAATTAGCAATAGAATCGATCAAATTAGTCAGAATAGTCAGCTTGCTTATATACATGTCGGAATGCATCACTTACTGTTTCCTATAAACAAACCTGACTGGAATAACTACCCATGCATTTACCAACACTGCAGTTGGCTATTGGCTAACGGCATCTATTTGTGTATAATACAAATAAGTAATATAAACGATGCAATCACTTAGCTGACTTAGACAAGCCAGATTTACTGCCTCTAATCAGTTCTTGTATACTATATTCATTTTCTCGGCATTTTACAACACTGACTAACTGTAAGAGTCATCATTTATTGAGAGTATCTGTATTACACTTGCCACACAAATGCTTCAACATTACTTATCGTCACCAAGTAACAGCTGAACACACATATAACGAGTGATTTCTTTTATGTGTATATTCTGATATATATACACGAGTGCTTGCATGTAATGTATATACATATATGCACTGATAATTACACTGAACTGCAGTTGCAAACTTCAAATCGCGTCAGTCAACAATTCAGTTTTACATGCCTAGCCAAAAGTAGTTAATGAACGCAACGCCAACATTTGCTTCGAGGCACAAAAATAGGAAACAAAACACTTGGGCGTATGCTTAATATTTATGAAATTTGTATGGGCTAGGCATGCCTAACTACACTAAACAGCAAAGGAGCAGAAATGGAGAGATCAATTTTGATCTTTTAGTTAGTCTCAACTGGGTGGGAGGTTGGACAAATCTGTTGCAAATGTAACTAAGCTGAATTAGTTTAGAATGGAGTTAATGTAGAATTAATTATTGCACTTGCCTGATTGTGTTGCACAGTGTAATTAAGTGTTGCCAGTCGACAGCGTGCTGCGCTCGCCGCTGTCGAACACAAAATAAAACAAATAACACAGCCTCCGGCTACGTTTGCAGTCGGCTAAGGCAAGCAAATGAGCAAAGACGACGCTGAACGCGCAAAGCCAACAGAAATTTTTGTTGAATTTTTGATGAGCAGAGTGCAAGAGGCAAACACATATATATTGAGACCCAGATAATGTACATATCATATATGTGCAAATGTATTTGAAATATCACATGGCTGATAGGCAGTTGGTGAATGAGCTGCTCCACGACGTGCAGCACATGAAAAGCAATTGTGTTAGTAGCGCGTAATGCAATTCAATTATCGACTTCAACTCTCGAACATACACAAAGAGCCGACAGTAAAAGTAACAATGTTTTGTTTTATTTATCTTTCAGCTGGAGCTGCTGCAGCGCAAGGTGGACGATCTGTCAGATACGCAAAATATAGCCGAGGATCGGACGACGCGCACAAAGACTGAATATGCGGTGCTCCAGGCGCGCTATCACATGCTCGAGGAGCAGTACAGAGAGGTAGGTAGCGATACAGTTTGACAGCCACTGAAAATAATACTAATATTCCTATTCTTTGTAGTCGGAGCTACGCGCCGAGGAACGTCTGGCCGAGGAGCAAAAGCGTCATCGCGAAATTTTGGCCCGTGTGGAACGCGAAGCCTCGCTGCAGAATGAGAACTGCCAGATAAAGATCAAAGCCACCGAGATCGAGGCGAATGCACTGCGCGATGAGGCACAACGTTTGCGTGTCTTGTGCGATAAACAGGCCAACGATTTGCATCGCACCGAGGAGCAGCTGGAGCTGGCACGCGATCAAATTGCTGCGTTGCAACAGGAATACGATGAGCAATTGCAAACGGTGCGCCGTCACGAGCAGGAAAAGAAGTCCACCGAGGAGCTAATGCTCGAGCTGAGTCGCGAGCTGCAGCGCGTCCGCGAGGAGAACGGGGCACGTGCCATGCCCACAACATCCCCCGAGAGCATAAGACTGGAGGAGCTGCATCAAGAGCTCGAGGAGATGCGTCAAAAGAATCGCTGTAAGTGAATAGGCCTTGTCTGTCATTTAGAATATCCTTGCTAACACCAGCCTTGTTTTATCATAGCACTCGAGGAGCAGAACGAGGAGCTGCAGGCCACCATGCTGACGAATCAGGCTACCATGCTGACAAATAGCGTAGAGCAGGGTCGACATCTGTTGAATGGCACGCTCAACAATTTGGCTCAGGAGCTGGAGGAGATGTCCCAAGCTCAGGTTTGTAGGCTCCCACACATAGCTACGCTTACTGTTTCCTTTCCGTGCCTATGCTCTTATGCTTTATTTATGCCGCGTCCACGCCCACAATTACATTAGTCAAACACGCCGCCCACGCACAGTCACAACTGCTTGTTAAAATCGCACAGTCTGAGAGTCCCGCATTTCGCCGTTGTCTTCTTATACATCTCACATATTTATATATATAAATGTATTTATTGTATTACAGGATTCTGTGGATTCAGCCACATTAGCATCCTTAAGTCAGGTAATGCTTATCCACGAAAACAAAATCGTTAAACCAAAAACAAAAACAAATCAAAATTCAAACATTACATGGTTTTGGAGGCTCTGTGCATGTGCTGCAGTTTGACAGCCACTGACTGTCACTTGGTTGTGGTTCACATTCTTTAATTTACAATTATTATTTTTCGGCACATTTATTAATGAAAATTTGAAATTTTTTATTGGTTTCATTGGGTACTTAACGAAATTCATCAAAAAAAAATCATTAATTTCATGTTGTATATAAGAAATCAAGGTATCCTCGATGCCTATCTATGTGTTGTTTGTTTAATGTGTATGACTTTCAGAGAAAGCATTCAACTAATCGACTTTTAATCAAATTACAGCTGCAACAGGCCTTCCAGGAAAAGGAAGATGAAAATGTGCGACTTAAGCACTACATCGATACGATCCTACTCAACATCGTGGAGAACTATCCCCAGCTGCTCGAAGTCAAACCAATAGAGCGCAAATAGAGCCGCAACTGTATGAAATGAAGCAGGATGTAAGCCGTATGCTGCTCTGGACCACCTAACCTTTACTCAAAAAGAAAGAAAAAACACTTATTAACTAATTTAACATACGTTTTAAGCAATCCCCATATATTTATGTATACAGTTAAGTCATAATTTATTTTATAACAATTTATGGTAGTTTTTAAACCGAACAACACAAGTGAACAGAACTACAGATCTATGTGAAATTAGTTAATGCACATTTTGTTAATCATATATATATATTTCTTGTGTCTATCTTTAAATTAATCGTTATTGTGTATAAAAGGAAATTCATGTTTGTAAAATAGCAAAGAAAATTGTAATTGTGAAGCAAAAAGGAAACACGTTTAACCCAGCAAATTGTTTATAGTTTTTGTAGTGTTGTTGAGCCCCGAAGATATTAACTATATAAATTACTAGATCGTAAGATTATACACCTTTTAACCAAGAATATTTATGAATATATACGAGAAATGATAACTACAATGTATATGATGTGTATATGAGTTTGTAGGCCCAGACAACGGATTCGTGTGCTGAGTACCGTTTAAATGTTTTATATACAAACTATAATATATTATTTAAAATTTGTTAAATATAGTTTTAGTAATGGGCAGCGCTTGGGATACATGTTACTATCAACCTTTATAATATATTATATATGAGGTTCTACGCTACCCTCTATTATATTTTGTTTCGTCAACTTTCACTGAACTTTGCCAAATTTCTGATTGTTTTTATTAGTGACTATAAAATTCTCTCTTATCTCATATCTTTTATTTCCAATTTCCAAGCGCCTTTCGCTGCCCATATATACTAATTCAAATCAATGAATAAACCTATCAAAAATTTGCGTTTATGGTATGGACAATCCCCAGGATATGTAGTCGGAGTTTTTAGTTAGACTTGAGCTAAGAACGATGAGAGAGAGCAGAGCAATTATTTAAGAAAGCAAAAACAAAATACATTTTAATTGTAAAACTAAAAATATATATTATCAAACTACGTACTACCTATACATATGTATTTGTAAACTTAACAGATGGACGTAATGTGCAAAGTTTCGGGTAACGCAATGCAGTTTGATTCATAACTGTGGACGAGCCCTAATAGATTAAACTTAAACTCAACGAAAAATTTAAAACATAACTCAAAGTGGTCAACTCTTTAATGTTTGTATAACAACTATCTATGTATGTATATCGAAGCTAAATTCAACGATTTGCTAATCATAATATTTGATGCCTTAAATGATTTTTAAAAAATAAATTGTATAATATAGAAGGATAGTGCGGAGTTCTAAGCTTGTAGATAACACTAACAAAAAGTCCATTATGCTTAACTAAATATATATACATAATTATAAATATGTATGTAGTACATCTATGATCTATGCATAGAGTTTTAAATGTAATTTACACCAAGGAAGTGTACGAAATATTACTAAAAATAATAAAGAACAATTTTATAAGGAATGCAAAAGAAAAGATTCTACCAATCGCTTCATTTTGAATGGGTGCTTAATGAAGTGCCAAAAAATGCAAATTGGCATAATTTTTGGATTTATTGAGGAAAGCTTTGTCCGAACAGGTTCTTAAACAATATGCTAAGTCATCCCAGCTGTCCGATTGCAATTTAAAACCGGTTCGTCACGTTGCCTCGGAGGGCCTCTGAAGGTGTATAAAAGCCCATGCTAAGACCCAGTTCAGGACACAGAAGACCAACAAGTCAAAGTCTGAAGATGGGAAAACTCCTTTTGGTATTGGCCACAGGTGTGAATTCTCTTCTAAATATAAGTAAAGCATCTCATCTCACTTAACTCTTAAATGTCTTCGCAGTGCTGCTGTGTTCCGTGCTTGTCACAGCGCAGGTGAAGCCAAATACAGAGATCGGCCGGGTTACTGTCCAGGTGCCGTTGCTGTCAAATGGAAAGCCCGTCATGAGCCAAGATAAGGAATTGGTGGAGATAGCGCATGTGGTGGAGGTGAAGCCGGGCAAGGTCAGACCAGAGGAGGTTGTGGTGCCGCTAGTCAAGGTACGAAACATGAGGGCTATTCGGGACGGTGAGAATCCGGGAAAGCCAAACCATGGCAAGCCTAATCCGGGTATTCCTATGCCTGGCATGCCCAATCCTGGCATTCCCAATGCTGGTATCCCCAATTCAGGCATTCCAAACGCCGGTATCCCTAATGCAGGCATACCCAATCCAGGCATCCCTGTACAAACTGCCACCTCTGAGGTTCAACCAGTTGTCGTTGCACCACCCAGCACCACAAGTTCACCTGGACCCATTTTGATCAAAGGCGCCAAGAGCTGTCAGCAGTTGCTATTGGCCAGCTCGGCTCCAGTCACACCGCTACCCATGCCGCCAACGCCCATCGAGAGCTGCGACATGCTGTGCACCAAGTTCGAGCTGATGCCCATCTGCGCCTACAACGGCGTCTGCATTCACGAGTTCCCCAATCAGTGCGTTATGGACACCTTCAACTGCAAACATCGTGATTTGGCATTCCGCGCCGTGGATGAGGATATTTGCATGAAGAACATTTGCTCTCGTCGCTGCAAAGAGGAGGATCTCAAGATGTAGATTGGAGTGAACGCGCTGAATAATTACATTTTATATTAAAAATTTATGTATTTTGTGGTAATAACAATAAAGATTATGAGAAGTAGCAAATGTTATGAATTCTTATATTATATATCTGAGACTTAAGCTAGAAGAGAAAGACTTGCACTTAGCAGTTGGCATCCTACATTAGAAGCCTTTGATTAGTTTACATTTTTGAGGTAAATTAGTTATTTCTTCCGATCTTTGTTGATAATCTGTTTGTCTATGAAAAGCTTAAGCCTATTAAAACAAAATTTTGCAAAGATTCTTTTTTCTATTATTCATTCATCATTATTTTCATCTTAGACAAATTGTAGCTCAATATTATAGTAATATGAAGTATGGCATACAAAAGTATAGTTGTAGGAACAATAGATTAATATTTTGTTACGTCCTGTAAACATCTCTTTGGCTTCTAACAATTCTTAGTTAAATGTATCTTGAAATAGCTGCCTTAAAAGCTATAGCTAATTTTATTAAGACTCTTAGTTTAGTAAGAAAATCTTATTTAAGGGAAAATGTCGTATCTAGATGAAACTCTTCGATTTATGTTCTGTCGAATTCATTGGTTCATGTGTCTTAAGATGATGGTTGTGATTGTGATGATTGTGTAAGTTTATAATCTAGATTACGTCTTAAATGCATTAAGTCCAAAATCAGACTGAAATACTTAATGACATACTATTTTCTATCAAGCAAAGCCCATTTGATTGAATTTAAAAATATATTTATTTGGTTTATTCAAATTTAAACTTTTATAAGACAAAAAAATATCACACGAAAGATAGTCTAACGTCTATGTAAGAGCAAGTATTTTAAATACATATATTTATATAAAATATATATATTATATACAAATATAGACTGCAGTTTATTTAAATTTAAATCAATTTATTATAATATTTTGATTTTTAATATAATATTTTTAATATAATATAAAGTACAAATCTTCAACCAACTTCCTTCCTTCCTTCCTAAAGCCCAGCTACTACAGTTCATTGCGTCAGCTGCAGTTCCTTACGCTCCGCCATGCTGCAGAGCGGCTGATAGCCCCGCGTGCAGCGATAGTTCTCGACAACATTGAAGCGCTTCTGGGGATTGCGACAGTTGTAGGCAGCCATGGTGCAGCGACTGGTGAACAGCTGCAAGCATTGGCCATTGTGGGCACAGACCTCGACATCTTGATCGGTGCAGGCGAAGTCACATTTATCAGGCACCCCTTGGTTCAGTTCGTCAAGCCAAACCGTTTCTCCGTGCTGATTGACTGCCGGCAGATGGCTACGTTTAACGGGCAGCACACTGGCGCTCGCAGCGGCAAATGCCAAGCAAACTATATGAAACGAACGAAAGATAAATTTACAGTTTGAGTAGCCTATGCAGTGCGTGTCAAACTTACACAGGCAGAACAGCGTAGAGTTCATAGCTTTAGACTATATGGACTTGGTTGTTATTGTCAAAGGATTTGTTTTCACCTTGCTGTTTGTGCAGCAACTGTTCAACTGTTGTTTCTGGGCCTCGCCTCAAATGTTTTTATAACCAAAATGCTGTCAATGTAAATTTTCGTACAGCCGCTGACGCTCGCTCATAATCCTTTATTTTAACACCTGACAAAAATATGCAAAACTGAAAAATCATGATTATCTTTGGGCCCGTCAGTTTTGTTATTATTTTGCTGCCTGCCAAAAATAAAACCTTTTGTTTCAAAATAAAAACATATTGCAGCGTTGGAAAGTCCCCGTGGGAAATTTGCATTTGTTTCTTTTGTTGACGCCAAATAATAGCGCTCAGTTTATTTGTTGTATAGTCATTCAAAATTAAATTGAATTTATATATTCAGAGATTCCAATTGTCGTTTTTCTGTTAAACAGTTCATTAAATTGCAGTGCTGCCTATCTTTAGGCTGTCAGCGCAAATATGTTTTTATTCGAAAATTCAAATTAATAATTTTGTTAATGTGTGTTCAGCTCTTATAAAGTGTGGTGAAAATTGAGCTGGTGCGAGTTGGCTATATATATCGTACTTACTTTCTTCTATAACCAATTGCCACGCCCCAATTGACAGTTAATATTTAATATGATTGCAACAAGTTAAAGTATCATTAATAACATTATATGAGGAAGCGATTGCTGCGCAAGCAAATATATTATTGATAATTTGTACTCAGCCAGCTGATCGTTCAGGCGACACGAAACCAGTTCCAAGTACAGATTTAACATTGCATTATCATAAAAAGTGCATTAACAAAAAAAAAAAATTTAATTCTTATGACAAATCTTTGTCGCTGCGAATATAACTGATATTCGATATTTGATTTTTTGAGGATCGTATAAAAAGTGGCTGCTGCAAACGAAAGTCAAGCAGAACGACACCGAGCGTTGTCGAGTCAAGGTGGAACGTAAGTGGATTGTATATTTAGCAAGTCTGATTTGTGGATTATAAGAGACAAAATGCGCGTTCTGTTGATATTTGGTGAGTACTCATTAAGAGCCCGCAGAGATAGAGTTATAACAGTCGTCTCCAACAGCAGCTCTGCTTGCGCTGGCTCATGCCGCGCAGCTTGATAAGCCGGAGCAGCAGCTGCCACATCCCATTGAGCTGCCTGCGCACGTGCAAACCCTGATAACCAATCACATCAATCAAGTGCTGGAGCAGAAGCCGCATGGTCAGGCTGCAACGCTCACTGGCCACGTGCCACAGGTTGGGGCAAACAAGGGCAATGCACAGGGGCATGGTGTCGCAGTGCCCCATTTGGATTTGCTGCCGCCGCATGTTGAGCCGGCGAAGGTGCCGCAGGTGATAAATCATCAGGCCACAGCCACATGGCAACATGCTGCTGGCCACAACAAAGTGGTGATGCCGCCAGTGCCGCAAATTGTGGTCTCAGTGCCCGGCCGTGCGCCACTGGACATTGGCGACAAGGTCAACAAGGTACAGCAACACGTCAGCCATGTGATGCAACAGGCGCAGACGCAAATACCCCAAGCCATCAATCAGGCGATCAAAGAGCGCGAAAAGCTCTTGACGCAAAAGCACAAACAAGACAGCAGCACCACCACCAGCAGCACCACAACAACCAGCAAGCCAGCCCACCATGCACTGCGCCTGCTATCCGCCGTTGAGGAAGTGCCCAAGCTGCTCGACCATCAACTCGAATTGAAAAAGCTGGGCAAATGCAACTTCCAGTGTCCACAACAATCGCTGCCCGTCTGCGCCACCAATGGCAACTGCGTGGTCGAGTTTCCAGGACAATGCGAGCTGAGCCAATGGAATTGCTTTAATACAAAGAATGGTAAGTTGGCGCGGAGTTCTTATAAACAGAAACTATATATAATAAGTATTTGCCTTTTATTTTTTCTAGTATTCCGTCAAGTGCATGATGACGAGTGCAATAATACCATCAAGTGCTATGATCGTGATAATGCTTAAGGCAGGGAGTTGAGAAAAAGGCAGGAAGAGAGCTTACAGGAAGTGATTTAAGATATTAACAAAATATATGTTTTTAATAAGCTAAAACTATAAATAATATTTGCTTAATATATTCAACCTAGTCTACATTCATCTAATTGCCATTGATATATTTTGTACGCAAATAAAGAATAGATAAAAAATAAAAAAATTCTGTTTTTTCTAGTCTTCTTTTCAGCAAAAGTAAACAAATAAAATAATGAATAAAAAAATAAATAATTCAGCGTCAAAATAATTCTTCTCTTCTAACAAAAAAAAAAAAAAATAAATTTTCATTGTCACAAAAATTTTCCTCAACAACATTTTCTCATATCATTTTAAACAGTAAAAAGAAATAAAATATCTGACATCAAATTTCATGCAGAGTATCTCGCAGTCGATAGCTTTTAACAAGCAATAATTTTGCCCATTGTCATAAATATTTCATTCAAAGCATTCTGTTTGTCTTCAGCTTATCAAAATCGTTTGTCAAGTCGTGGCCTTTGATTTCGTTTCGCCATCTTAAAGATACTTTTGCGAGCATATTTACATGTAACATTAAATCAATATGATTTTGGGGTCTTAGGCAGCAATCGTTGACTTAAATGCTGCTCGTTACTCTTCGGTTCGATATGGCAAATCGGCAAATGGCAATTGTCACACTTTCCACACGTTACTCAATCCCAATCGAGACGCTGGCATTTGCCAGCAATCATCCAATTTGTCAAAATGGCTTAATAACGGATTTGGCCAAAGCCCAGAACGCAAAGCCAATGCCAATGCCAATGCCAATGCCGAAGCCAAAGCCAATGCCAATTGGGAATGAGATATAGACCAGCCAGCTGCTACACGCTTTAAGCTTTCTTTTGCTTTGCTTTGCCGTACTTGACTTTGCTCTGTCCGCTTATCAAATGTAGCCGCATGCAACAACATGCAGAGACTTCAGATAAATGACAGACGCCTCCTGGTTGGCCGCCTGTCAGCATTCATTCTCATTGCGATGCAGCTAGAATTTAGACTTAGACCTGGTTACTGGCTGAGTGCAGAGCCGAGAGTGGGGCAGAGACCTCTAGATGCCATTAAAAAGCACTTTATGAATATGCGGCTAGCCAAAAAGAAATTCGTTCACTTTTCGTTTGCATGCGCCAGCATCAAATGTTGTAAAGGCTGTGAGAGGAAGCACAGCTATGAGAGGGCATATGTACCATGGAGAAGGATGCGCATATACTATAATATATTAAATATATTAAATATGAAATTGGTCTGAAAAAAACTTATGATGATTACACAAGCTGGAAAATAACATACAAATTAATTTATTTGTATTATCAATCATAATATTTTCCGGCTTCAGCTTCAGGCTTGCTACTTCACAGGCTATTTGTCAAATTAACTTTCTTTATATAATATCAAATATTTGTATAGGCCGTGAGAGGGTTGACCAGCTACATAAATAATTATTAAACATATTGTGAATGTCAACTATATCAAAATATGTACACGACTTATCTTTAAGAAAAGTTAATAATTTGTTACAAAATAATCGAAATCAAAATAAATAATTAATAATAAAAATTTATATTTTGTTATTTAGTATAAAATCGCTGCAGCTGCTTATTGGTTAGTGCTTAAAGAAGGCTTAGGCAAACCCATAAACTATGTATAAACTTGAGCAGGACGATGACCGGAGCTATTAGTCCCAGTGATGTTGTTAGCTTCAAGACTTTAAGACTTCAAATTTTTAATATATTTATTTTTATTATTTGTTATGCGTTGCTATCTCATAAAATTTGAAAATTATGGAAACGAATTCATTTTGGAACAATTGCTTAAAAGCCACAAATGCTAGAGCTACCAAACTTAATATGTAGTTGCTTGAATTGAATTAATGAATAAGAGACTTTATTAATAGATTCAATTGAAGTGCTAAAAATTGCAGTAAATAAATAAGAAACGAATTAAAAACTAATAATTTTTCGGGTTATATTTATTGGGCATTTGATGAATTAGGCAATTATTATTGGCGTCCAATTGAACTGTACTTGACTGAACTATTTAATCTTTGAACTTTACATAGCTTCAAATTAAGAATGAGCAATGAGATGCAGGATCACCAAATTGTTTATAAGTTGCTCTAATCGCTAATTTTCAAACAACACATAATTTATAGATGAAGTGTGGCGGCAAGTATTTGCAAAAACTATTCTGAACAAAAATACCATAAAAATTACAATAGTTAGAAGTGTACTCTAAATAACTCTCCGTTTATGCATCCAAACAACAGATCTGCGTTTAGGGTATCTCCCGGTCGGACACTCTCGACTAGCGCGGATCTCGCTTGATTTCTTTGACTCTTTTTTAATAGTGTATGCTGAATTCGAATATATCTTTGCTTAACTTTATTTTCCATGGCTTAGCAGAGACGTCCACGCGCCTTTTGGGACCCATAAATTTCACATTTGCAGTTAGCCTGGGGAGCTGCCTGTCTGTTGCTCTGTTCTACAAATATTTGACTTAGTTTCGCTGCGTGTCTGCCACGCATGCGCCATCTTTACAACGTCTCCCGGGGAGGCAGCGGCAGCGGCAGCAGCAGCAGGAGCAGTACCTGAAGAGTTGCAGCAGCACCAAAAAGCGCCGTTAACTCTGCACGTTCCTTATCTGCGAATGTGTTAGCCTTGGCTGGCTGCTTTTACTTCTGGCTCACTTCGGCTTCTGGTCTGGCCTGGAACTGGAGTGCAACTGCTTGCGCTTAATACCAAATGCGTGAGCTGTGGGCCGGGCCGCAGTTTGATAGCTACGATTCTGGCAGCAGCGGAAATGCAATTAACACTTTGGGCCATAATTGCGTGCCAAATGCATTTGGCTTGCACCCGGCTTTGGTCGAAGCAAACGGGTTTCTGCTTTTGGCCAGAAAAACGAAACCCCCTCGGGGAAATGCTACGCTGCTCCAGCTTCCACTGCACTGCGCTTGTTTTGATTTGCTCTGCTCATTTGCAAGCAACGTGGTCATTAATCAGGCTGCATGGCATATGTTCCCATAAGATATCCAACAGGCATAACATGCTCAATGCCAAGCTGATTTGCACTGCAAAAATGTCCTCCAGCCTCATATCTTTTCTAATTTGCTCAAGACGGAATTCTTGCTTAGGTAGAAAGTTTCTGTTTGTGACCATTTTCTTTTTCTCTCATTGCTTTCTATGTGGATGTGGATGTTTTTATGCATTTGCCTTGGGAGATTTTTAATTAACTAATTTTTTTTATAAATATTAAAGAGTAGGAGCTTTAACAGAGTTTTTATCTATAGATATAAATACAGACAAATATTTATTTATATATATAAGGCCTTATATGCTATATATTAACAGTGTTATTATTAAATAACCATTAAAATATTATAAAATATATTATATAATTACAAAATAAAAAATTCCTTAGAATGTTTTAAGAAAACTAAAAAAAAATTATATGATAAGAATTCTTAAGAGTAGTTGATTTTATAATTATGTTATATTATTTTAAAACATACATAGTTTTTAAATGAAATAATAATTGTATATTTATTTAGCTAATTTTGGTATATGATATGCATTTAGTTATGATTTTCTATATTCCATCAGTTAAGTCTATTAATTTAGTATTAATTTAATTTAATTTGTTAACAAATATGTTTTATTTCTTTAAAATTTAAATCAAGCAGTTATCTTTAAATATATAAAGTATACAAAGAAGTAAGTGCAGTTCTTTCGATTTGGAAAATTTTGCTACTAAATTATTCTTAACAATATTATCTGTCGCTATCTACTATTTTTGTTCATCCTTGACTTAATCATACTTGGTCAGCCAAGGCATGTTGCCTCAAACGGAATATATAACAATCGGAAGGGGCAATTTGTGGAGCAGACGGAGGTGGGGATAGAACTTCCCATTTGAGTACTTTTTAACGAGCGCTGCAACATGCGGTCGAACATTATTATGCTGTAAAATAATCTGTCGTAATAGCAAAGCAGCAGAGAAGTTTTACATGCAATTTAGCAATAGCGTAGATATTTAAATAAATATTATATGTAAGAGATAACGATGTATATGTAAATGTATATGTATATGTATATATATATATATATATATATATATATATATATATATTTATATTTATATTTATATTTATATAATAAAAAAATTCATTTATATTTTTATTATCTATAGAATATCACTCCAACATTCAACATGAATTTAAACCCACAGCAACTGCTTAAAGTGTAGAATTACAATATAAGTTAAGGTAAACTGACCGCAGAATATCTCTGATCTGGCAAACTTGACTTAAAAGACATATATTTCTTATATATATCATATTACAGCGCATCTGCTAGTGCGTCATTCCGAGTTACAGAATCCAATTTCTTTTCCACTTTCTAAGCATTTCATTCTGCTTAGCTTCGAAGCTAAATGCGTTCGCACATAACACTCTCTCAGCCGGCGTATCGCAGTTAATCACTTAATCTCAATTAAGACCAAATTGCTATTGTCCAACATTTAAATGCAAATGCCAAATTAACGACTATTTGCCGAGTCTGGTAACCACCTTCCATGCACTGTTTCGTCTGTCTGGCTGCCCGTTTGTCTGGCTTCTCGTTTTATTCGCAGTCCTGGCAAAGTGGAGCGACATATGAACAGTTTGGTTTTTGTTGTCTGGACAGTGTTTTTAATTTAACTGAAATTAATTGAGTAATTTGATGAGAAACGCAGAAAAACGCAGGCCATACAAATTTTACAGTGGAACAACTGTGGCACAGTGGGTGAAGGAGGCTGGCTACTGATGAGCAGCTGAACAGCGTGGAAATTGTGGCAGATGCAGATTGTCTGGCCGTTGCTGCCAAGCAGCTACAACAACAAAAGCAGACAACAAATTTAATATAAAGCATATTAACTTTGATGGCAAATGGCCGCAGGGCATAGGAGACCAATGGAGATTTTGTAGTCATCTGTCAGGCGTTGGCGTAACATGGCC